CCCTCCCGCGCTAGCCTAAGGGCCACCTTAGCAAAGCGCATCCCAGGCTGCATAGCCGCACTACCCTACCCAACCATACCACACATAAACATGACACTACCCCCGGGGTTTACACAGACGAGCCGGCGAAGCAAGAAGAGCGCCAGAAGAAAGGGCCCTAGCCGGCGGGGCCCAGCCAGGACAAAAGGAGGTCCCACAAAGCGCCTACACCGGCCGCATTTGCGGTCGGGGTAGACGACGGATGGGGCCCACCTACGAAGGCTGTCCAGGCCTACACGAGATGAGGCAGGATAAAGAGGGATAATCCCCCTCGATCCCAAATCATTGAGGCCAATTTCTAGCCATGGAATAATGGCGCGCACGCGTGGCGCGGTTTATGAATGACATATCTGTGTTCAAGGTTAAAGACACAAATTGTCCGTTCTCTGGTTATGAGCATGAGAGCCATTGACATAAAATTCAGGAAAGGGTCAAATTCAAAAATATCAGGTTATATAATAATATTATGCTAGGTCTGAGGTCTGTAATGGTACTCCACGTAAAAGCTAAGGATAACTTCGACATGATATGAAGGCTACAGAAATAAAAGCTTTTTTCTAGAAGTGTGCTATTGGATCACATAAAAACTTCTTGATATACTCATATTACACAAGTTCTAAGTGCTGAAAAAGGTAATTTAAATTTACAATGAATTTTTCCGAAAATTTTTCAATTCTATGGTTACAAATATTATTTTATTTTCAGACCTTTAAAATGCCATTGGTGTGTTACTTAACTGAGTTACTTTATTGAAAAAATCGTATTTAGGGTCTCATACCGAATTGATAATTTTTCATTATGTATCTGATCTCATTTAATAATTCATTGATTTTGGGGAATTCTCACCTCCTACTCCAACTTTATATTATTTATAGGTCTCTGATTTCGAATTCCATTTGTGAGGTTCTATGGACGTTAATTTTCTCGTCGTGTTGTATATTTGGTTGCCTATGTTACAATGTGAATAATAAAATTTTATACATATCCATCTTTCTGTATCATTTTTGTACTTACTGTACATACAGGGGGGCACATGTTTTGAGTGGAATTGCAGGGTCCTATATAGGGTAAAAGCACATAATATGTAAACCATCAATTTCACACCGTTGTCGACACATTGTCTCTAATCAAATATTTTGGGTGTCCTTGAATGGAGAAGCGGCTATCGGGACCGTGAAAAGAATTTTTTACTTGTGTATAAAAGTATATTAAATGATCGCTATAAATATATAATTTAAAAATACTGAAATTATTGATGTAAAAGTTCGTAATATTTCTATAATCACCTTAAGTAGTTTATTTGCTATTTGTTATAGTGACATATGCTTTGTTATAAGTAAAATATAGTTTTAGAGCCACATTCACATAATATGTTATTTGTATAACACGTCTGTGTTTACTGATGTTATTTAACGATATCCTCAATTAAAGCATTCTAAATCTAATAAGTGACACCAAAAAAATATATTTACATGGTTTCAATACGGTTTTTTTCAGTAGAACACATCGGCGTAGATACTCTTCTTTTCTTAAATAACACAGGCCGACAAAAAAAGATTTTTTTTATTTTTAGATCAGAAATTTTGATGTGTTGAAACCAAATTTGATGAGTAGAAAAATGTCCAGTTTAATTTTTTTTTAATCACAGGGACAAGTATTTTCTATATTGAATAGGCAGTTATTTTAATACTACCTTTGGCAATGGCGGCACTTCCATACCAGGGAGGACGGAAAAATTTAGCTACAACCCACTAAACATTTTTCAGTTTCTGACATGTTCCAGAAACGTTTCCATTTTTCTTGAAACGTTTCATAAAAAAAACATGCAACGTTCTGGTAACCCAATAGAAACCGAAGATGTCCGCCTCAAAATACGTTTCCAATGAAACGTTTCAAAAAATTGGTTTCAGTAACATTCTTTTGATGTTCCATTTATGCACTCGATATTTTTGTTTTACGTTTCAGTATATTTTCAGAAATGTTTGAGTAACATAATAATTTTTATACCATATTGTTCTCATAATGCTCTCAACTTTAGATAATTTCCATTTCAGAAGCGTTTTTGAAACAGTATAAACAGTGTGAGTAATTTTTTAAATATTTCTAATACTCTTTTGTAATATTTTTATTTGTATTGTGAATGACTTAATTCGTAATCCAGACAATTTTTTCTGATTTCTCAAAAAATTTAACTGAAAAATGTTATTGTATATTAAAAAAAATAACTGCTCTTCTAGTTTGGGGATGCAGCAACTTTTATCAAGAATTTTTTTCTTTTTGAGAAGCCACTGAAAAAGTTTCTAATATGGATTACGGATTCTGCCATTCATCGTACAAATAAAAATGTCACAAAACAATATCAGAAGCATTTTAAAAAAGCTACACATCATTTTATATTGTTCAAATACGCTTCTGAAATGGAAATTTTCTAATGTTGAGACCATCATGAATATGGTAACAATGACGAAATGATAATTAAAAAAATTAGTTATGATAATGAATCTTGAAATGGTAGGTACATGAAAAACAAATAACATTACTGAAAAATAATATAAAGAAGTTACAATTTCTTCTACGCATAGTCAATATTACATCTAACCTTTTTATAATAAATTTTACAGTAGAAATAAATAAGATACAAAAGGATATCTTGAAAAAATAAATATTTGTAGGTATACTTAAACTCTTTTATTTAAGCATTCCTATACACGTACACAAATATAAACATTTGTACAAAATATAAAATAAATGACATATATTTCACTTGATTCTTCCGTATTTCAAATAGTTCTCCGAAACGTATAGTTCCATGTTCCATTTTTTTTAGTTTTTGTCCTCTTGTCTTTAATAGGTATTAGGTAGTGGGTATAATAACTATGTTTAGGTAGATGTGACGCAAAATTCGAAATCTCTACACATATCGTTTTAAACATTTTGCATCAATATTCATTATTTTATATGCACCTTACAATAACCACAACTGCACACACTATAAATTATCACATAAAATAGCATCAAAGTAACGATCATGGAGACTATTCTCCCTGGTAACGATGAAGAACAACGAAGCCAGGCAAACGGGTAAAGGCAAACCGCAAACCTAACCTAACACCTAACATAATACGAATTGAAAACGGCACACGAGAAATAAATAAATTCGGGCTGTTACGCGCGGTCTGCGCAAGTCACGAACATACATTTTTTCTAGACTTGTGTTATAAATATGCTACCACAATTTTTTTTCTGTTTATGTCTGGTTGTACATATAACAAAGGCAAATGAACTAACGCTTGCTATAATGATGGGGCTTGAGAGCAAAATTTAAGTAATGCCGAATGGAAGTTCCATAAGATAAACAAAAGCAAAGGGTTGTTTGTTTGTCGTTGTTACGTTTCCGAGATCGAAAGGGAATGTTTCGAGTAATGTTTCAAACTCTCTTCAATTGGAATGTTTCGGCTATGTTTCACTAAGTAAGTTTTCAAGTGCTACATTTCTGTAATGAAACAGCAACGTTTCTAGTTATTGTTTCAAATGTGCAGTAAAACAGCTCATTTGCAACGTTTCATTTACGTTTCGTGTTTAGTGGGAAATTATTGAAAAAAAAAATAAATATAATTGGGTAGTTTACTTATTTTAAGTACCTACTACACATACTACTACACATACTACTACTAAGTATGTGACCTACTATTGAAATATAGGGAAAATGTGTTCAACATTACTGTTTATTGTGAAAGTCTAATCTTCTGTTTTATTAAACTTTTACAATCTTTTAAAAAACACACAAGTAAATAACAAATTTTACACCACATCAGAACAAAGAATTATGTTTAATAAGAAAAGCCTACTATTTGGTTACAGTCGGACCCAACCTGACTCAACAAATCCCAAACTCTAAACTGCATAGTAAGTATTAGTGATGGGAGATTTCGAGTGAAAAATCGAGTGGTACTCGATTATTGAGATCACTCGAGATATCTCGAGATGTTTACTCCCACAACTCGAGTGATTATTAGCCTACGGTTGCACCCCAAAATGTTAGTGCATACTGCAAATAGTCACTGATTGCGTAACCTTTTTTTTAGAATAAAACGAAAAAGTGGTTAGGTTTTGAGGTGCGTGAGCTATTTTTTTTTTTAGCTACGCTTATAAGTAATATATGACTAATACAAACATATTTGTGCGCCGCTGGGATGAAAACGACCAATATCTCGTATCTCGAGTGATCACTCGATTATTAGAAGTACTCGATTACCGATAACTCGATTATAAAAATTAGTCGATTATGCCCATCACTAGTAAGTATGCGCTACTCCTACTCCGTCTTTCACTGCTGCGCGACGGTAACCATGACCACCGCTATAAACACTTTTCAGATGTAGGAGCGAGCTACGCGGAATCCACGTATTCAGAGTTTCTGAAAAACAAAATGACATTTTCCTAATGACAAATAAGTGTATTATTGCTTACCTAGTTGTTTTTTCATGGTAATCGTTGTGTGCGGATACTGTAATGGGCGCTCAGAGCGCAGATTTAAAATTAATATGTGGGTGTAATTTTTAAAGAAATTATATGTGTTTGAAACAAACGGACCGTTGAATGAACAAGGTACGTATAATTGCTTCAGAATGGCACAAATGAAATTTTAGAGGATATGCCATTGAATATGCTGTCTACCGTACTGTATAGCGAAACAAAAAAATGAGCTCAAAGGTGGAATTCACCACATTACGAATGCAATAAATAATACACAAGAGATTATATTTAGAATTTACCAGTCGTTTCGCCGATATAAAGACATATTATTTATATTAGTATTATTTTGAATTTGAAGTTAATGCGTGACATTATAAAATAGTATTAATTTAAAATTTATTTACTATCCTTAAGAAACTAATTTTCTTATCAGAAAAATGGTCTCCCATTCAATACCTGAGATTTTCAGTAAAATGATACATTATTATACCGATTTATCAACAAGTATACCTTTTTTTATGTAGAATTGTCCACGGAATTTAAAAATGAATGCCAAATGATTATTAAGTTATTAGCGTAGAAGTTGGGGTAAAAAATCCCATTTTACTATCCATTCCGACGCCACTACTTACAAAAATTTGTAAATTTTACAGTAAATTATGCATGTTAACACTACACCAAATTTGAATTAATTTTGTTATAAGCATACCAAAGATTTCGTAAATAATATGATTTTAACAACCGACCAATACGACCCTGTACAGTGAAAACGGTGAGACTTGGACCCTTTTACTTTGTAAGGCAATTCTGAATTATTTATTGAGTTCTATTTGTGGTTAAAGTTTAATTCATTCGAAATGAAATGCCCTGTATGTGTCAAAGGATGTTTAAAAATACTTACAACTTTTGTTTTTAACTTTTTTCGTATCTCGATCAATAACGAGCAAATATGGAGAGGCAGTTTCCACGTGACCACTCTGTACAAATGTCTATATACGGGACTGGAAAATCCACATGGTCCATCTGCCTTTACATGAGAGCGACAAAGTAAAGTAAAGAAATCCGTGCGATAGACAAGGATGGCTATAGTGAAGACGTTTCATAATCTGAATAGTCACCGCTCGTTTCGGGTTAGAAGTGGGAGTGACTATTCAGATTATGAAACGTCTTCACTATAGCCATCCTTGTCTATCGCACGGATTTCTATGACTTACTTTATTGCTCCGCTCCCACGTAACGGCCGATGTACCATGGGGACTTTCCGAACCTGTATACAGGCTGTTACAAATTCGCTTCTCATTGCAGGGATCTCGGAAACGGTAAGAGGTACGAAGTAGCTTAAATGGAGGCGAAGTTGCGTAATCAGGAGACCAACATTATGCCTCTAAAAAATCAAGGCTAACATGAGTTTTCGAAATATTTGAAAAAAAAACAAAATTTTGGAAATCCGTTTTTGTTTCATTTCAGCTTTGTTTGAGGTGATATTGAAAAAAGATGAACAGTTTCTCATGGCCACTTTTTGCCCTCTATTGAATGGCATATTCAATTTTTATATATAATGTTTCGTCTCTCCAGGACCATCATCAACTTAATTTTTTTAAATACGACCCTGGAAATTTTATTACATTTTTTGCAAGCCTTCATGATCCCCAATACTGTACTGCTTCAGCCCGAATCAGATTTAGACGTTTTGTTGAACGAAAATGTTGTTGAACATTTACAGAATTTTTTTAAAGAATAATATTCAGTTGGCGTTTTAGTTGTTCATATGCATTTTCAAGAATTAATTTGACATAATAAAATTAAAATTGTAATAATGTTTTAATTTTGACGCAACAACTGATTGAGTTATGCATGACCTAGTGATGGTAATAGTGAAGAAGAATTTTCGAGACAAAACGTCTGAATTTGATTCGGGCCGAAGCAGTACAGTATTGGGGATCATGAAGGCTTGCAAAAAATGTAATAAAATTTCTAGGGTCGTATTTAAAAAAATGAAGTTGATGATGGTCCTGGAGAGACGAAACGTTACATATAAAAATTAATTATGTCATTTGATAGAGGGCAAAAAGTGGCCATGAGAAAGTGTTCTTCTTTTTTCAATATCACCTCAAACAAGGCTGAAATGAAACAAAAACGGATTTCCAAAATTTCGATTTTTTTAAAATATTTCGAAAACTAATCATGTTAGCCTTGATTTTTTAGAGGCATAATGTTGGTCCCCTGATTACGCAACTTTGCCCCCATTTAAGCTACTTCGTATCTCTTACTGTTTCCGAGATCCCTGTACTGAGAAGCGAATTTGTAACAGCCTGTATATTTAAAAATATTAATAAAATAATTAATTATTCAATTATGCAGAGTTTCTGGTTTGAATTTTTATTTATTATTTGTTATCCGTTATTCGCTGTTTGTTATCCATTATTTGTTGTTCGTTAATTGTTCGTTATTCGTTAATCGTCATTCGTCATTCATAATTCGTCATTCGTTATTCGTTATTCATTAATCGTTATTCGTTATTCGTCATTCATTAGGTAATCGTCAAACGTCTCTTGTCACTCGTCACTCGCCATTCGTTAATTGTTATCGTTATTCGTTATCATAACAAACAATTTTTTTCATAATTAATAGGATACCTATGTCAGATGAATGAATTTTTAAGTAAATAGTATTTTTTTAATTTCACATTTTCACTAAATAAATACCAATGTTTTAAACTTAAATCATATAAAATATTAGCCAACTCATTATTTAAACCTTCTTCACCCTACCAAACCTCTTCAATCAGGGACAAACTAATATCTTTAACTTATGTATAAATTAGCGGTTTGCCTTATTTTTTTACAAAAGTAAATTTAATAATACTATTTTAAATATTATGAGAGTTTTAAAGTCTTAATCAGTACATGGAAAAATCCTGTGTATGCCACTAATTGTTAAATAGTAATGATGGATAAAAAAAACTACTGCCAACATTTTACCAAGGTGCGGTGTTTCAAAAAAGGTCAATTATTATCAATGTGTGAATATTATATTCTATAAATATGCACACTACCATTTATCCATTAATTGTGGTATCATTAGAGTATTTATGTTTTTAATTACTTACGATTATTTTCTTAACCTGATAATGTCTATATCAGTCTTATCAGGCACTCCATCCTGTGTTTATACTTAAAACCATTTAAGATATCGTAATGAATGTTCCCCGCCTCTATGCTTATATGTATATGAACATAATGTCTACGTAAACGATCATATTCATTTATTAAAATAATACAATCATATCCGTTTCCGTTAAGATTACATCAATAGTACTTTTAACGTGCAACTGAATTTCCACTTAATTTTAGTACGTGAAGATATTTTCAAGACGATGTAATTTAATGAATGATGCAAATTCTTTTTTATTTAAACTGATAGTCTAACTAATTATGAATACTATTTCAAGTAAATATGTGGTTAGTTAAATATCCAGGAATTGCTTTTAGTCAATCGAAATAATTCATTCATTTATTAATCCATGACCTGTTGCTATATTCTTCAGACAATCACTTTGGGGAGCCTCTTTTAGTTTCATTCATAATTTCAGTGCCTATATAATATTTTAAATTTATTTAAAAAACAACTTAAAAAAAAATTGACAAGCTTTAACATATTTACAGAATATTTTGAATATGTACCTATAGTCTATTTTACAGGGTTAATAACAAGAATTAATAACAATTTTGGCATAAAATCATTGCTGTAGAAATAGCTTTTTAAAATACAATTGTCATTGTCATGCAATAGATAAAAAAAGGTGAGAGATTTTTTTTAAATTTTGCTGTACCTACTATGCGCTACGTTTATAAATAAGAAATTAAAATTGTGTATCAAAAGAAATAGTTTCAGTCGATTTTTTTGTAATTTAAAGTACATACTTCGGCCCTACGGACAAATATCTTGTGTGAATCTCTATCGTACTTATCTAACAAAATTTAAAAAATAAGCGTAAATTTTGGTCACGTTGCGCACATTCAACCTGATAAAACATAATTTTTTAATTGTGGAATATCGACAATTGAAAAAAGGAGCAGCTTATATTAACAGTAGGTGTACCTACCTAATAATAAGTAAGTATAGTAAATTTTATCAAATGCGGCATTCATTTGTTTGTTGCTATTTTACAGGATCGCATAGTACCTAAGTATATTTATTTATTTATAAATGAAAGGATAGGTATTTGATTTACATGGTGCTAACAAAATTAAAGAAAGTGACTGGCATTTTGTAAAACTTCCGTATTAAATGAAAGTACCTATACAGTTCATTTATCTAAACCGGAAACGATATGATGGGAATTTAAGTTGTATCCTTGTAGATTAGAGATAAATATATTTGCCGGTAAATAAGGAGGACATTTAGCCTTCGTTATATCACATAAATATTCCCATAAACTAAAAATAGAATTTTACAAATTATTGATAGATTTAGAATTTCAAATAAAATACATTTAAAAGAGTATTAAAACATGTAGGTACCTATATAACATGTATAATTATTATGAACTAAAAATAATCTTTGGTGAACTTCTTTTAAAAAAATAAACTTATACAGGGAGTTTGGTTTTAATACAGTACAATACAAAACAATAAAGTTGTAATAATTTTAGATAGATACCTAGATAGATATAGGTACAGCAATTACACATGACTATTGCAAGAATAACGCAAAGTAGTAACATTAGCTCAGCACATCTAGGTTAATAAATGATTACAGCTTGACGTTATCATCTCTTATTAACCATTATCATTTTATTCTCAACATTAGGTCTTTGTTAACAAAAGAAATACTTAGAAATTTTACTGTTTCTGAGATTGATCTTGAATCATTATTATTCGAAGTCGGCATTGTTGTTAAGTAGAATAGTTCTCACGATATTATTATATACGCATTGGTTACGAAAATTTTACAAATAGCAAAGTATGACGTGAGAATTAAAAAACCATTGTTGTATCAATTTGCTGAAGAAAGCTGTTTTTAATAACACCGACAAACTTTTGAGTTCATACATATATCTAACCTACTTAGTTATTATATCATTCTTGTATGTAGCAAATTAATAAAACAGAACACAGTACGCGTGATATAAGTACCTACCTATTGGTAAAACTAATAATAAAATTACAAGTAGCGAGATAGCCTATCTACTTCATTATGCCTTGGCCTCTCATGTTGATTTATTTACGGAAAAAACTAAAAATCCTAAATTGTAAAGCATCTTTGGTAGGTACCTATGTACAAACATAATAAACTATAGAAATTTTAAGAAAATAGTTACAATTTCGGAGGATAATATAAAAATCTCTTTTATACTACTTTATACGATAATTGAAAATACCTAAATTTATCCAAAACTATCAAAATTACATGAAATTGTATGTTCTGTTAACAAATTCTTGATAAAACAAAACAGTGGGACTGCGATATACCGATAACTGTCATACCAACCTACTTACCTAATTCAAAACAATTAGCAACAATAATACGTTCTGTGTATAAAAATACGCCTTACTTAGTGATTTGTTATCTGGCCTAATTGAAAGATAATCTCAGAAAATCAAATACCTACCATCTAATATACCATTAACTTTATACCTAATTAGATTTGATAATGTTCACCCCAAACGTCAAGTAACTTAATTTCCTCTCTTGTTACCTGCAGTGCCCACTTCATGTAATATGTAATTTAGTTTGGGATTACCGATTATACAAATTAAAGTGTTGTTTCTTAACGTGTGGGTAAAAATAATACCAATCTGTGTAGGTAACCCAATAATAAGGCAATCGTTTTTTCTCGAAAAACGCTACGAGCTATTTACTATAGCGATAATATCAAATTTGAAATAATTAATGATGATGAGTTATGGGAACGTAGTTTTTCTGTTCATTCATACTAGTTGGATTATGCGTAGTGCGCTACTTTGTAATGATTAAAACATAGCGACCACGTGCGGTGTCGTATAATGCATTAAGTACAAACATCTTTGCAATTCATTCATAAACTCTCATAGAGTAATAAAAGACACGTGCATTTATCAATCAGCTAGGTATACACACAAAACCCAATACCAGCTCGCGAGATTTACACCTTATGCTGATTTTTATTTCTTTATCAAAGGAAATTGTGGTCGTTTGTTCCATCATAAACGCTGCCTTTGAATCATGAGCGGTTCGTAAGAAACGTTCGGCCGAGAATCGTGTACACTCATGAGCCGTTCCATTCATTTTTTAGATCATGGAGTAGACAGGAAACATGGCGGACGAGAACTTTAAAGTGCGACTAGAAGAACGATTAAAAATAAAAATAGGTAAGACATAGTATGTTCAATAAAAGTATTGTATCTGTGTTGACATTTTTATTCTGCATGTTGCGAATATAGTATTTTTTGGTAAAAATTAAAGTGGGATAATTTTTATATTGTTGACATTTTGAGGTTTAGTCACTGCAGGTGGTGACAAATTGTTAATATAATAGTTTATTTTACCTTATTATCATAATTTTCAGTACTAAAATTCTATATTTTAGGAGAAGCCAAGAATTTACAAGCTAGAATACATGGATCTTCAACACAAAGAGATGTTTACTGTACTCTATCCTTAGACCAAGAAGAAATTTTTCGGACGTCTACAGTGTATCAAACATTAAGGTATATAAGTTAATTATTTTTATTATTGCAAATCTAGTAAAATTATTCTTTTAGCCCATTTTTTGGTGAAGAATTTCAATTTGAAGTACCGAGAAATTTTAGATTTGTGTCTATATATGTCTTTGATCGTGACAGGCATCTAAGGCAAGATAAAGTGTTAGGGAAGGTTGCAATTAGGCGAGAACATTTGGCATCTTATAATAACAAGGATCATTGGTTTCCTATTAAGGCTGTCGATGCAGATTCTGAGGTCCAAGGGAAGGCAAATATTGAAATACGATTCGAACCTGAATTTGAACAAATGTTTAACAAAAATAAATCCTCTGGAGGATACAATTCAAGTAGAAGACTGTTAGTTCAAGTAGTGAAGTGTTTAGATTTAACTTTAAAAAATGGTGCTTGTGATCCCTATGCATTGGTGTTAGTAACCTATACAAATGGAAAACGTATCTCGAAGCGAACTAAAGTGCGGAAAAAAACCACAAGTCCTCAGTTCGATGAAGTTTTTACGTTTTATAATAGTGAAGGGAGAGATAATATGTGTGAGAGTGACTCTGAAATTTGTGAACTACATGTATCGATATGGCATGATACGCCTGGAATGAGTGACGATGTGTTTTTAGGGGAGGTTCGTGTACAATTACGGGGGATGCAACAGCAAAATGCTGCACATAGAAGCGCGTGGTAAGTAAAACCTTTATGAATAACTATAACTTGTGACTTTATTAGTTCTGTTTGATAAGTTACAAATTCATAAAACATCACTACCCATACTAAGACCTACCTACCTACCTACCTACCCACTCACCCAGTAGTAATAACGGAAATGTGATAAAAAAAAATATACTTAAGGTACTTAACCTACTTAATTGAAATTTTAAATACCTGCTTATTTGCTGTGAACTTTTAAGCAGTTATTATCTAAGTATAATGTAATGTGTTGTTTCATTAAAATCTACTTTGGTTTTTAAAATATCTGTCTCTCCTCCTCTATAACTTTTTATCTGGGAACATTAGCATTAGCAATTATTTTTGGACAACTTAAATTGTCAGGCTTTTTCTTGAATTGAGAAATGGATTTCTTTAAGTATCTATTCTGCCTAACGAAAGAAAAATAAGTGTTTTGCTCGGTGTTTTGTAATTTACAAACTTATTAGGGGCGAGATGAGTGGTCAGTCCCCAGGTCATTCAGAAAATTGTAATACTGATTCCCTTTTAAAGAACGACCAAAAGGAAAAACTTTACTTTACTTTACCATTAAATTAAATATTTATAAAAAAATAAAATAATGGTCAAATAGATAGGCACCTATTCTCCATCAATTAAGTACTTCCTAATTCTAATATTTTTTCATAATTGTTTTTTGCTTTTATTCTCTTATATTCTCATTCATATCGTATGTGTGACAAATATTTGTTTTAATCTAAAATCCAAAATTCCCATGTACCAAAATTTTGAAAGATGTTGATCTCTGTTATACTATTAAGAAAAAAAAGTACTTTTGATAAGTTAGATTTAGATATGAGGGCACATTTGTAAAATTTGATAACATCGGTTGCATATGTTTCCAAATGGCACATTTGCAAAAATTTCCATATAATAAACACTTACTTTAATTGTGTTATCGTTTGAAAAAATATTGTAAACATTTCTCTTTTCTTGAAGGAAAAAAATGCAGCTGAAATTTTAAGACAATAGGAATTTGAAAATTGAAATAGGATTGTCCTAAGTATGTAAATCAAAAATTTTTATTAAAGGACAGGTAAATTACTGATTTTATGTCCAAATACTTTTAAATTTTTGAATAATTGACTGAATAATAAATAATAAATTCTACTTGAATCAAAAAGAGAGCACATTATGATGTACAATGAGGTGGAAATATAAGCAAACCAAAGGTCTTCCCACTCCACCATTTTGCCATTATGTACCCTATCTTCTGGATTCAAATAAATTTGGTTTAACCTTGGGCTTACCTGTATATATACAGGGTGTCCCAGAATAACGTGCACAACGGAAGACCACAGATTCGTGGACTCAAAATAGGCAGATTTAGGGTAATTCACCTATATCCAAAATCGCTTCATTTGGCCGCTAGATGGCTTCAAAGTTTGTGAAAATTATTTGAATTTTGTAAATAACTCGAATACGTATTACTTAATTGATTTTGATTATTACTGCGGTGTGGACTTTTGCTTTCAATCTACAAATTTTGATGTTATACAGAGTGTTTTTTAAAATTCACAACTCCTTCAAAATTGATGTATGGTGATAATATCCGTTCATAATTTTTTCCTCTTTCGGGAAATAATGACAACTATTTTTTATTTGATAGGTGATACCTACGTACCATTTGGAAGTTTTTGGGCCTCTTATAAAATTTTGATTAAATGAGCGGTTTGGATACAAAAAAATATTTTTTAAATGTCTACATTATCTTGCCACCCATATTCGAGGGGTAAACCGCTGACCGAAATTTTGTACACCAATGCCCATTTTGTTAGTAATGCCCCATTAATTCTCGTTAAATTCCCGCAATGCCCTGCTAATTCCCAATAAATTCCCTCAATGCCCTAGTAATTCCCAATAAATGCCCTTAATGCCACTCTAATTCCTAATAACTGCCCGCAATTCCCTACTAATTCCTAGTAAAACCCTGTAAGCAATTCCCAGTAAATTCCCAAAATGTCGAAAATACCGAGCATTTTCTGTGATTTATGAAATATACCTACTACTACTACTATACTTTGTTGTTTGCTTGCTGGTGATTGTAGTGTACCGGGTAGGAAAGTACCGATGGTCTATCTGAAGTTACGTGAGAGCGATAAAGTAAGCCATAGAAATCCATGTGATAGACAAGGATGGGTATAGTGAAGGACTCTAATAGTCACTGCCCATTTCGCCTTTCCACAAATAAGAAGTGGATCTTATTTGTGGAAGGGCGAAACGGGCGGTGACTATGAGACGCCTTCATTATAGCCATCCTTCTCTATCGCATGGATTTCTATGGCTTACTTTATCGCTCTCACGTAACTTCAGATAGACCATCGGTACTTTCCTACCCGGTATGTAATTTTTACAAGGATAACAAAGGTTTTCTGATTAAGTTACATTTTTTAATGATTAAAATAAATAAATCTGCTCAAATGATTTACAACTGCATTTTAAATAAACAATACAAAATGAATTATTTAGCTACGTTTATAAATCACACTCCAAGTACTTAGGCATACTCGAATATACAATATAGTGCACACCATAACTATAAAAAAATACATATTGTACATATATACAGTGTGTTCCCTTTAAAACTTTGTGTCGAATTTCAAATGAATTGGTTGAAAAATAAATTTACTATCACAAAAAAAGTAAAAATAAAACTTTCATGATAACCATCGAGATTTCGACATTTTGCCAAATGACTTTCTAACATTACTTTGCAGTTTATCCATCGTTACATAAAGATATTGAAATTTCATCAAAATAATTTTTATGACTTCCAATTTTCGATACCTATTTTATTTTTGGATCATTCTTTTAACACTTCATGAATTCTATTTTCAATTTTTGTAAATTGTTTCAGATAAACCCTCACAGCACTCTCCCTTAGTACTTCCCCTATTGGGCGAAGTACGCTTTTTCTTATTATACTTGCTTTCGGATACGTCATTCAAGTGTTTTGTTGAGATTTGGTTGGTTTCTTTCTTTCTCAGTTTCTTTAAAGCATAATCTCGAAGAATATTAATAATATTTTTATGGCCTGTAATTATTTTAAATAATGTTGGCCTATTACAATAAATTCTATATCTGGAATATTCGTGTTCATCAATAATTTCATGCAAATCGGTTCTAGCAAATGTTTCTATTTCTAGAATGTTGTCTTTTTTAAGTGTTGCTATAATAGACCCATTTTCAAATCCACTGACTATGAGCAAATTTTTTAACGATTCAGTGATTTTTATTGCAGTGCCTCTTCTGCTTCTTCAAAGAAGTGATCACTACTCGAATCACTATGTTCAGGATGGACTTCAGGAATGTTAGCGTACCCAGCCATCTAAGAAAACGATTTCAACATACAGTGTTAAAATTTAAAAATATTAGAAATTATTCGGTAACTTGAGGCCTCGATTGAGGCTTAAAGACTAGAATACGTGGTTTATAAGGTCATACCGGTCACATATTATGTTTATATTTGAGTAAAATATAGGAAACGGCTTGGAAGATAAAAAACTACTTAAATTGAAAACGGTTGTAATTTGGAAAATAGTTTATACAGTACTTACTTATGTCCGAAAACTTCACGCAGAAGTTTCAGGTGGTGATACTACTCGAAAAATAATGTGACAAGTGCATGTAACATTTTTCCGAAAAGTTAATATTAACGAGGCTATATAACCTCAAAGTAATGATTTTTTAATACTTTGCTTTAACTTTTTTAATACTGATGCGTTTTTTTCAAATTATTGTCAAAGTAAAATTGTAACAGCTACCGGTCTTTTCAAAGTATGTTTAATTTACTTACATCTTTAATGAAATAAGATTTACTAATGCGTCCAATAAATTTAAATGTCGATTCATTCATTATTTTGTTAAAATTCTTTGGTCAACCATACTATCTCAATTTCAATAAATTTAAAAGTAAAAAAAGTTATGATAATTTCTTCGGCCAGTATGTTTTGTGTCCTTTCCAACTTTTGAAGCAGAGCAATTATATAATTATTTCATCTAGAAAAAAATATCTTAAGTTATAGCCAAAAAACGAATAAAAAGATAACATTGCGGTTACACCGTTAATATTGTTGAGTAGTATAAGTCCCTGAATTTTCTTTACGCAGTTTTTTTCTGCTTGAAATATAGCGTGTCTGTAAGAAGTGCCTGACCCCTATACATTTTTTGTCTTTAAATAAAAATAAAACGCATTTGGGGCATGCGTCTCAGGAAACGTACAGGACGCCAAAATGAATTTAGCATTTATTTAACTTTTTTCTTTTGGTTTAACCGGTAATGACATTAATTTTAGATTTTTAAATGGAAAATCCCATATATTCTACATTATTTTGGTTTGCAATGTCATTCTGAACACAACCATGTATGTACCTATCATAAGTAGGCACGTCATTTTTAATTAAGTCGAAAAAAATTATTTCCAAATTTATTTTTTAAACTACTTAAAGGGTTGGACATATGTTTACGTTGTTTGTTTAGATCTTAGAAACCAGGGAAAAATAATATTCTAGCACTTTTACTCTTAACTTTCATATACAGAGTAACCCATTTGAAAGCGGGCCACCCTCATAACATTTTTATTTTTGAAGCGATTTTGATGAAATTTTTTTTGAAATGCAGAGGGGGGGAAGGTGTATTTTGGGGTCAAGCGGCGTCCATTTCTTTTTTAAACTAAGGCCTACTAGATCACATTCAGAGGCTGAAAAATCCAAAATCCATATTAGCGACTTTTTTAGAAAAAATCTGCGTTCACCACTGGATTCGGCGTCCCCTGAAATGGATCTGTACCAAATTTCATGAAAAAATATTCAACATTAACGATTCTATGGCTAAATTGCTGTCAAATTGTTTATTATGCATTAAGAAGCTTTTTATCTAGTAGCCCATGCGATAACAAATCAATCACAACAAATATTTAATAACACATTTAATAGACATCATTATATCAAAATACAATG